CATTTCTGGTTTGCATTTTTTTTTCTTTTCAAATTTCTATTATCTAGAAATAATGGAACAAAAATCACTCCATAACAGAATAGCTTTCTTGTAGAACAGCTGCACAAAAATGTTGAGTAAATTTGACCAAAAAGGAGGTATTTTTTCCTCTTCTAAAAGTAGAAAAAAAGTCCAAAGTGTATTTTTTTTTTTTTGTATTTAATGTAGATGTGCTGTTAGTGTGACAGCGGCTTGACTGATACCAGCTGCAGGCCTGGATCAGCAGCCTAGTCGTGTATAAACATCCACCATGTAACCGTTTGCTGAAAACATTGAAGGAAACATTCAGGAAGGAACCTGCAGACCCACTTCTGTTTGAACAGGACCTCTGCAGGACTTTATTCTTCTCATGTCGGGGATCTGATGGGTTTCAGATACACCAGGAGTCTGTGAAATAGCACCATGTGAACATGTGGGCGTGGCCAGGGCTTGACTGACATGTGATATGCCCAATCAGAAAGTTCCAAGCCAGTGGAGTTCTGCAGTTGGTCCATGAAGGATGTGTTGGCACCAGGCCGAGCTGATCTTTCAGTCCATTTAGCAATCACACATAATATATATTTTATAGATATATTTATATATTCTATTAAACATCATAAGCACTGTCATCTATACAATGTTTACTGGAACCATCTTTTTTAGATTAAAAACTCTTTTGGAAATGTATAAAAAAAAAATGCTGATGAGGGATGAGCTGTTTTTTCGTTTTTTTTATGCTCACTCTGATCACTTTTACATTTTCTAGCAGCATGCTGGACAGTATCGGGGATATCAAAAACAGCTCAAGCTTTAAACTTAGTCGAACATGCCGAAGAAAAGCAGAGACGCACAGAAGCTCGGGGGGGAACAGAGAAAACCGCCTTCACCAGAAAGCAGAGACACAGAGCTGGTGGTACATGAAGCTAAAGACACTGAGTTTTTATCCTCTCCCATACATTATTATTATTTTTATTTTTTTTACTTTAAATTTAACTACAAAATTCTCACTGGAAAAAAAGTTGCCTGCAAATGTGCTGACCTATGACCTCTCCAGCCACCAGCACTACAGCTAACCTGACTCCGCCAGAGGGATTTGCTCCGCATATCCATCTGGAAACCTTCCGTT